AATAAAAAAAAAAATTTTGAATTTACTTACTTGTAGCCAGAGTTAGAGGCGGTCGGATACTTATGACCGCTACTGTAGTAACATCAGAACACTATAGAAATTTTCCAAATTTTCACAAAAATGTTTTAAAAATAACCTTATCTCTCTCAAATAGTTTAACCTTCATGAAAATTTCCTTGAAATTGCTCAAGATTGTTCTTTATGTATTTTCTCAATAGGCCTTTTCTAATAATATTTATATTAAATCAATACTAATTGACATACAATTATTGATAGCTTATTTACAAATGAAGGCTAAACTTAAAGAACATGAATTTAAACTTTCAAGCATATAACAAGCCTACAAGACAGAATTGACGATTACAAATCTGATCTGAAAAAGATGATAGACTCAGTCTTAAATAGAAAAGAAAAATTATCATTTTAGATAAGTGTTTCGATAACACAAGTTCCTCACATGATTTATTTACAGATAAAACAGATGTTCGAAGTAAAATTGCCTGACACTTTTAGCAGATAACTGATACAACTCACGAAGATAAGTCAATTCTAGAAGAATGGATATCAACCTATCAACCTATACCTAAAATTGATTTGTCAATTTACAATCATCTTACTTCAATGCTGACAGCGGACGAATAGTATATAGTTATAGATCAACTTCTGAATAATAAGACTCCTAGCCCCTTAAAGATATCTAATAAAATGCTTAAACATCTTAGCCTCTTGGAAAAAAAAGTATTTTAATATATTATTTGTGAATATCTTCAGATATCCTCGATTCCATCAAGATGGAATATGGCTTATGTTTACCTGATTCCTAAACTAAAACTATGGCAATTTAATCTGAATAATACTAGACCAATAACATTGCTAAAATGCCTGAGAAAAGCTTTTACAAAATTTCTGAACATCTGATTAGCTTCTATTTTTACTAGACATAATATATTAAAAGATTTCAATGTTGCTGGGCTTCCCTTCAAATTGACTTTTGATCCCATTCATATAATCAATCATGTTAAACAAAATGCTCTATTTAACAACTAAGAACTTTGAATACTTCTTCAGGATATGTCTAAAGCTTATGATTGTGTTAATATTTTTACATTAGTTAAAGCTTTCGAATGAATTAAAATCCCATACTTGTTTATCCAAATTATCATAAGAATTTTTATATCCCATTTTAACCAAGTTTTCATAGCATATGGAAATACTGATACAAATTTAATTCACTCAGGAATTGACCAAGGAAAAGTAATTTCACCACTTTTGTGATACATTTATTATGACCCACTTCTGTGTAGAATTAATAATTCACTCTATGGTTACAACATGAATGTACAATGGCGTCTTAATATCCTTTTCACTCAAACTACATCTCGCCAATACAAAATTTCTACTTTAGCATTTATGGATTATACTTTGTGGGTGGTTAAATTCAAAAAGGATTTATCATACATCATTTCACTTACTAATAGTTTTTTTAACTTCAATGATATTCAAGTTAATTGGTCAAAATCAGAACTATTAGTTAATACTTATCAATCACAACCTTTTATTATCTAACATAATCAACAATATTATAAACTCATCCCTTATCATTCAAATGATAGCATTAAATATCTGAGCGTATGGATATTCTTACGATCTAACAACAACTTTATTGTGAAATAACTGCATGCTGAAATTAAAAATGCTATCACCATTATGAAAAACAAAAGGTTAACTGATTTACAAATAATCTATATCTATAACACAGTAATCTTCTCAAGAATTGAATATAGAAGCTCAATGCAAAATATTAACAACCACATTTATTGCATTTTTGAAAAGAAAACTCAAGTTCCCACAAGTTACACCTACTGATCTGTTTAACTTACATTATTTTTACAATGTTATCCTGCTGTAATAATGACTTCTCCAATATTTCAATTCAGCACTCTTACAAATGACCAACGAAACTGGTCTTTTGAGACTAACATTTCTTATAAGAGTTAAATAATTACAAATCAAAGAATGATTACATAAAGCTTCTTGATCTTTTGACCTCATAATACAACACAAAAAATAATGTTTGGCTTCTGTCTACTCTATGTAATATAAAATGCTTGAATATCTCCTTGAATATTTCCTTTATCTTTCACCAAAATATAGCAAATGGTACACATACTATTCATGAACTTATTCTAACTAATTATAGAGCATTTACCAGAGACCTTCATCAATAGTCAGTCCTTTATATTGAATAATTATTTAACTGTTATGATAGCTACATATTAACGTACACTGACTTCTATACTATTACTAATACTAAGAAAAGACTTTATACAATACCTAAATGGTTCACGACTATTGAGAATTTACTGTCAATAAATGAGCATAGAATGCTTTTACCAATGAACAGTTTTAATCATAATCATTGTTATGGTTATATTATTCGACTGCTTAAACATAAAATTGGAACTTACAACTATGTTGTTAGATGGGATACTGCCACCAAATCATTCATCACTGGTCATCCTACCTACCTTGATGACAATACTGTACATATTAAACACTGCTTACCATTAGTAGGCTCTCGTCACTACACTGTATTTAAGGATTATGATCATTGCTCTCTATATTAAGAAGATGTGCAGAAGTTAGGATCTGGTTTTTATGTGTTTTCTCATACTACCTCGCAGTCTTTGTACCTCAATTCCTATTAAATTCAAAGATAAATACGTGGATATTCTTCATACAGTTCTTTCAATTGAAGCTTTACATGAACTTACGCTAATTAGATTTTTAACCCTTCATTTGTAGTTATTCTACAACCTTTTGTCTCATAGTTACCTATTAATTTATTGAATAAATATGTTTCTCTATCTTACAATACTCAATTACAGAATTTTGCTTAATAATTTATTAACTTCACTACTTTAGAATTTTATACAAATGGTTCCCTTTAAAACTTTAACACCTTGTCTATTAAAATGAGCCTGGCATAGTTACAAATTCATCCTGATTTTACCAATGTGTTCCTTTGTTGCATCTTTTACTACTGGTTTTTCATCATTTTTTTTTCTTGAATTTGCAACAATCTTCTCAACTCTAATCACTGCACCACCTTACTGTAAAGTGAAAATTTATACTGACTTAGCAGTTATCATATCTCAGTTTATAAACTTTAAAACCTTTTTTACCTATTACCTACTTTTTACCCATTCTTTAAAATCAACAATTATGCAAATTGGTCTTGCCTATTCGATGTCATATCACATAATCACCTGGATATGTATCTGATTAAAGTTAAAGCACATTTTAATAATCTTTATAACAACAAAGTTGACGAGTTAGCCAGAAATTGCAATCAATCTTCTGCCTTATAACTACTTACTTCTAACTCTAACAAAGCTTTTATAGTGTTCTATAACTCTTACATATTGATCCCCATATGTCAATTCATAAAAGAACTATACAGAGAATCTTCAATCTTGAACTTAAGTAACCTAAAAGTTCTCTCAAAAGTATTATGATTGTCTATTCTTACTGGATTGCTACTTCATTCTCACTAAATGATAATATTGCTGCAAGGTGTACCTCTTATGTTGCCTTAGTAATCAGAAAAGCCAAATATCAACGAATATTAAAAATGCTTCCTATACTAGAAATTATGAAGATTAGATATCCGACGCTCTATCTATTATCTCTTTTATATCTTCAATATGAAGCAGCTGATGAAGACTTCTATCATATTTAGATTTGCCCAATCGTTAACTATGAAATGAAAAATATTATAATTAACTCCAAAAATCACCTAAAATTTATTACCAATGCAAATGACATCGAAATAAAGCAATTATTCTATTGGCAGCTTTGCACTTACAACTCAATTTCTTATTTTATACTCATGAAAGGAATTATTTTCTTACAACTCTACTGCTTTATTCACAGCAAACTTCATTTAATTCAACTAACTAATGCAGCCTGTTCCTCATTTATGCATCTCATCTATAAACAAACTTAACAAATTTGAACAGATAGATGCATTATATAAAAAGAGCTAGAAAATTCTGCAAATATTTCCATCAAAGAAAAAAAGAATAATTTTAGAATCTCAGATTATAACCTTTCCTTCCAATTTATTTTTAATACTTTTAGATCAAATCCTATCACTACCATAGTATGGTTAGGCTTACATTGGTCAAATTTTTAATGCAGTAGTGACCACGCCCTCTTTTCTTTTGTTCATTTATTTTCCCAAAAAGTGATGTATTTAGCTTAGATTAGAATTGATTTTGGGGAATGCAAGGTCAGTTTTTATAAAATATAGTTTTTAAACGAGATTTTTGTTTTTTCTTATGATTTATTTGTATTTTTGTTTTTAGTTTATCTATAAATGTATAAATATCTACACTTATCATAATAAAGATTTAGCGAAACTACCGCACTTTAAAAAAAATGTAAAATAGGAATGGGAAGGAAGATTAAGAAAAAACTCTTTTCGCTAATCACTAAAAATGCCAAAAAAAATCAAAAATTTAACAACTGTGGTCATTTCACATCACTAGTTACAGAAAAATTATCACTACAAAAAAATAGAACATCACTTAAACAACTGAACAAACTGCTGCTGAAAGTTCTAATATTACACAATCTCCTGTAATCACTATGGAAGTTGACTAAACATCTAAAATTACACCTTCGCCTTTTGATAAAGGGAAAACTAAAGAAACTGATACAATTACTGAAACTACAACCAGCAACAAAAAAGATGAAATAAACATTGACAGTCCTTCTAACATGTCTAAAAATACTATTAACACCACTTCAGTAGCTTTTGCTACGCCAGTCTTTAGTGCTGAAAAATTTTTCGCGTATTTTTTGTTTGAAAAATATCTTAGAGTAAACCCCTAACAGAAGATCGCTGAAATCACACTGATAAATATTGTTTCGACTATGCTTCCTTTGCAGAAGTTACACGTGAAAAACTTCCTACTGATCCTTCAATCAATATTCTCAAGGTTGCCTTTTTAGACTCTAACGAACGTAATGATCTTTGTAAAGTACAGATTCTTAATACAGACAAAGCCACGTTTTTACCTCTGGTTATACAAAAATTGCATCCTTTTGTATTTGCACAGTTAATCACAGTAACTGAGATCCTGTTAGATTTTACAGTTACATAAATTAAAAAATTTTTTTCCCATTATAGAAACATCGTACGTTGCACTATGAAAACTCAAAACTTTTGATAATGTGCTATTATCACCTTTGATGATAAAGCTAAATTTGACCTTCTTCAAGCGACTGACAGATTACTCATCATTAATGACTCTATTTGTATTCATATGTGTGACCAGAACAGAAAAGAAATCCAAGATTATTCCAAATTTTCAAAAAACTAACTAATCTTTCACGAGGTATCACAGCACGTGATCTACTTATTGGTAAGATAGTTGATACTACCGCTTGGATTGTTCTACAAGCAAGATCAAATTATAATTATTTGCAACATGCATACTTTTACTTTCGTAATACTAATAAAGCTGATGCTGCAATTGCAACTGATAAATTCACGCTTAACAACAAAAAACTCGAATGGATTGATGCAAAAACTAAATTGTGTGCCATTTGTTCATTAACATATTATAACGTGTCTTCATGTCTTAGAAAAAGAAACATTCCAAAAGATAAAAATACTCAATACCTATATCAAAAGTTTCAACCCGTTAAATTTAATAGATATACTGCATCTAAAAAACCTTGTGGTACTGTTAGAGATAATATTACATTCGCTGATATAGCTAGCCAATTGAATTCTAACATTAAACGTTCACAAATTCAAAATAGACAACCTTCTCTTCTCCCTTTACCAAAAAAACCTATTGCTACTTTCACACCAAATAAGAATAATATTAAACCACCTATTGTAAGTTGGGCTAACAAACCTATGAATGATGATACTGTCTTTGATAATACTGTGTATTCTACCCCAAATATAAAAAATGGAGCTGCTGCAGGCAGCTCTATGCATAACCCTGATTTTAAGAAATTTGTTACATCTCAACTTGAATCTATTACTAATACCTTTGGTAACCTTTGTTATGCTTTTAAATTTTTGCAATCTCGCCTTGAAGTGGTTAAAAAGGCACTGAACATCAAAGTTATAATTCCCCAAGAAGCTGAAACTTATAACAATACACTTTCAGATTTTGCTTCTGAAGCTGAACTCAAATCTCTATTTATTAATACAACTCTTTGTATTTTCTACTTACAGTTATGAATCAATGAACAACTCATCACTATTTGCCAAAAATAATAACAGCGAATCTCTGAATTTACTTTAATAATTAATAAGCTGCTCAAAACTTATCAAGACTTTCAAATTGTACTCATTAACAAAAATCTTATCAGCTAATATGACACATAAGTTTTTGACCCCCTGAATGAAGAATTTGACAAAATGATAGAACGTTATATTGGCAACTTTTCATAATAAATATAACATAAATATGAATACTATTTTTACTGATATTTTAACAGAACCTAATAATAATTCCAATCTTATTAAAACAAAAAAATTTCTATAGCCTCATATAACATTAAAAAACTTAATGGGCTTACCAAATAAAACATTCTTTTTTCATTTTACGAAATACATCATTATAATATACTAGCCTTACAAGAAACTAATTTCAAACACAATAATGCCTCAATTTTCAATAGATCATTTCCTAATTTTTTAACAATTTTTAGTAAAAACTGTAATAGTTAGTCTTGTAGATTTGGAGTCAGCCTATTTTTTAGTCCTCAACTCTTCAAATATATCTTTTAACATGACTCGAAACTTGATAGTGTTATTTACACAAAGTTATAATTCTCTGACAAACAAAAACTTATTGTTATTAACATATACGTTCCTTCAGGAAAATCTAAAGAAAAATTACTAATCAAGTCCTAACATGCATTAAATATCTTCTTGATAATGCTATAAAAAATGATTACTACATTATTTTACTTAAAGATTTTAATGTGGATATTGACTGTACAAAAAATAATTTACTTTGAACTATTTTGTTTATTAATTCACTAAATCATTATAACCTTTTCGATTCTTTTACAGTTCTACATGATACCAATCAGTCACATTTTACCACTTTTCATCGTAATCATTTATCATCAAGAATTGATTATATTTAGATAACACCTGAACTAATACTCAATATGCTTGAGGCTGATGTACTATCTATTGACTCACAAATTTCTGATCATTATATCGCCACCATTAAATGTTCCAACTTTCTACAAATCAATTCCAATAGTCGCAATTATTCTACTAAATCTTCTTTTAATTATAACAAAATGAATACAAAGAAAATGAACACAATTCAAAGACAAATTAGATTATGCTATAAACAGTTGTGCTCTTAGAAATATTTCTGACTCTATAACTTGATCTCAATCCACTCTGAACAAATATTAAGATTTGTTTTAAGATACCTTAATTTTGACTGTAAACAAATATATACCTATCAGTAAATGTAAAGTTCGTCGACTGTTCAAATAACCCATCGCCCTATCCAATTTATATACGAATATCAAGACACTACAGAAATTTTCCAAATCTTTACACAAATGTCTC